ACTGATACGAAAGCTAGCAACCATGCTTCTCTAATTGATTGGAGCCACACTTCGGAGCGATGAAATGTTCCTTCAACTCCCTAGGATTAGCCTTATTAGTCGATGACAAAAGCCCGCGGGGGTCTTGTAAGAGCAGAAGAGAAGGGGCACGTCCTGTCGCCAAGGAAATTTTTTGCAAAATACAATCCCCGCGACCCTTTGAATTCCCTCCTCTTCTACGGTCCCCCTCCCCATCCCTCGTCCTACCTACCATCTTCCCAATTTTCTGGCTTCACTCAAAAGTGTTGTTGAGCGGAATGGGCGAGGAAAGGGGAGAAGTGGGGGGGGGGGGGAACGGGAAACAGCGCGCGTGAAACGGAGAACTGTGTAACGTCAACAAGGCAACAACCAAAAACATTCTTCACGGAGGCACTTTTGAACCCTTCCTTCCAGCGACCAAATGCTACCCCCCCCCCCCCTCCGCTCGCAGGGTATCCCCAACGTACGACGTATTAGCATGAGAGGGCTTCGTCGCGCCGCCGTTGCGCCCCTCAATGCATTACCACCATTCGTGGTTGAATATTGGAAAGTGCATCAAGTAGTATGGCTACTTGATAGTAACTGACCACTTTCCTAGTTCATAAAAGGAGCACAAATACTGAATGAGTGACATTGGATAAGGAATTTTGTCTCGACTTATGACACGAACAACTGCGCTCCATTGCTAGCCGTTGGACTGCTGCACCACTAATCCATTTTCATTCTCATCCCAAACAGATCCCTCGACCATACAACGGTCCAGCGACAAGCGATGGGGCGCGATCGGTCACTGCAGTACTATTTCCAAGCGGCGGGAACAAACCGCTCGCAAGGCGAATTATAAACGCGCTCTGAACTTCATATCAAGTGCCTCATCAAAACATTTTCCAAAGATCATGACTTCGTCTTACTTCACTGTGCGGCCTATCAGAAGCCGTTTGATTCCAAAAGCACGCTCCATCAATGACTCGCTCTCGAATTCTGCGATCCATCGATCGGAAGCATTCCCATCAGCATAGAACGTACGCGTTACCTTGCTTGGCCTGACTCGCTCTGACATCCACCTGAAACCACCGATCAATGTTAAAAATTAGTAAACAGCTATAAAGGTCTCTCCTCCTCCCCCCCCCAATCCCCAATTTACGGTGACACCGGAATCGACACTATGAGGGACAGAAAATCAGAGAATCACTTGAAGCTTTACATGAGCGAAGATTAGAAGATCTTCCATGAAAAACTGAAAAAGGAAGAGAAGCCCAGCTCACCCAATAAGCTCCTGCTCGGTGCATCGGAACGGCACGTTCGTTAACTGCAGGCACCATCGCGTTGAGCCTGTCGTCTGCCGTGATCGTTTTGGAGCTGAACGACTCCTGGAGCGGCGAGAAGCACGACGATCGCGACTTCGGGTACGTGATCTCAAATGATGTATTCACAATGGGAGGATAACGCCAGTCAGGCACCATATCCCTCCAGGAACGTGGTCTGCAATTTTGCGTCCAACAGCGGCGCAGTAGCCCAAGGCTAATGCCGTTTGGACTCCAGAAATTTCGTCTTCGAGCTCATTTTCAAATTGCCTAAGTCACCAAATCCACTAAAAACTTGTATATAGGGGTAATTCAACATCCTGATTACGAGTATGACACTCATTCTTGGCCAAGAGAGGACACTACGATTACCTCCTGGGCTCAGCCTTAGCAGAGCGCAGGTAACCGTAGTGTCATCCATTAGCGCCAGCGCCAAAAATGAATGTCATATTCGTGATCAGGATGTTGAATTACCCCTATATACAAGTTTTTAGCGGATTTGGTGATCTTGCCACTTTTAAAATGAGCTCGAAGACGAAATTTCTGGAGTCCAAACGGCATTAGCCGTAGCCCAATATTTTGAAAGGCTCCAAATGGGTGGACCGGTCATCATCTAAGAAAATGTGCAGTGCACAAAATGGCCCACCCACCCCTAGCTCAGCCCCAAACCCGTGCTCGAAGCCTCAGACTATCACAGAGCAGACGCAAAATCGCAACTAGCCTTTCCCTGTCCGGGATAAGCTGTTTAATTAAATTCGAACTCTGAAATGTAAAGCGGTACCTTTGCCTTTTACGGGGTGACGGATCACGCTTGTTGCGGCGTCTTTCGCGACTGCGGGAACGTGAACGACGTCGCGTATGTTCTGAGTCGCGCTTACTATCAGCGTTCTCACCAACACCAGCAGCTGCTGCTGCTTCCGTAGCCTACAACACCATTGTAACGTATTCCGAAGGCTGAACCTTGGCAGTAGAACTTACGCTGAGTACCGCTGGAGGAAGTCCGTCCACTGCTTCATCGAATATAGCCTTCGTTGTAGGTCGGACCCTGGAATAGGTAATGATGTTGTGCCCGTAAGAATCAAAACGAAACATAAAAATAGTGAAGAGCTCCTCACTCTTACCGAATGCCCAGCTCTCCATCTCTGTTAAGCACAACATCAGCGTCAGCTGGGTTGTCAAGTCGTACAAGCGTATTCATATGAATTCCTCAAAAATCAGGACTTTTTATCGATTCCGATAACCAAATAGCTTTCAGAAATGAGGTCAATATTACCTTGACTGCTATAAACCACTTTCACAGATGAAACCTGTAGAGGGACAGATGGTCTAAGAAATTGCTCTAGAACCGCAGGACGAAGCATTTCTGTTGGTAGACGGCTCAATTCAATGTATTTTGGAGTGCTGGAACAAAGGCAGTTTTAGGGCTTGAACAGGGGATCTGCACCACATGTAAACTCACGGTGGTGCTGGCCTCGGGATATTGGGTCCGCTACCAAAGTTTGGACCGAGCAAAGGTGTTCTATTCATCGGCGGTTGCGGCTGCCTCATCTGCTGTGGTGGCGGAATCGGTTGATGACCACCCGGTCGTCCTGCAGGTGGCATTGCCGGCTTCTGAAGCAATGGTCTCTAAAGTGAAATTGTGTAGGAAATTCGTGAGTCAAAAGAACAAAGGAATATCAGTTGTCAATATCTCGAATAAACATACGTCATCGTTGAAGGCCGAGGGAGGCTTACTAATCAGAGGTTTCCGGGTCGGTGGGCCACTGTTAGGACCAGGCCTAAAAGATACAACTGATTTATCACACCATAATTTCTTGTTCTCATTTGTCCAAGCTCTACCTGAAACCACTTTAGAAAGCTCTGTAGATAAACGTACTTATGCATGTTCGACGGCCACGATGATCCATTTCCACCATAAGGTGGCCCATCATCATCTCTCCATAAACCAGGACCAGATCCAGGAGGAGCACCACCATTGACAGGAGGTCCGTCTTGACGGTTCATCGGAGGGAACAGCGCACGGGGACCCCCAGCTGGCGGCCTGAAAACCTTCGACTTATGCATTTTGTACCTTATGAGTTCCCATTTCACGAAACTGAGGGACTTATGCTGAACCTCACCTTCGATCATCTTGCTGCAGTGCAACTGGCCCATTGTATCTTTCATGTGGATGTTCTCTTCCATCAGCACCCTCTTCCATAGATCGGCTCGACTGCACTGCTCCCGGCGGTCCACGAGGATGTCCGGGTGGTCCACCGTATGGAGACCTGTAAGGCGGCCCATAGCTGCCGTCACTGGCAGGTCCTGCAGCTTTTTGATCTTCTCTGAGCGACTGATTTGGAATGCCACGGGGTGGCATGCCAATTCCAGGTTGCATTGGGCGATTTAAATTCGGATTTCGTGGAGGCGCGCTGAAGAATCTAGGCGCCGTATCGGATAGACGTTGCTCCGCCTGATTACTCTGGTAAGGTGGTCTATGAGGCATTTCAGGAGGAAATCTTTTTGGCTCAGCGGGAGGATATTTTCTTTCATACATACCCTCATCTCTTGGCGGCATTGCTGGGCGACTATTTTGCTGCATTTGTTGTGCTGGAGGATAACTATCCATAGGAGCAGGTGGGTAACCTCGTTGATAGCCCCGGTATTCACCATTGTGTGGACTATCAGCTGTAGGTTGAGTAGGTGCCGGAGGATAATGCTGCTGTTGCTGTTGTTGTGGCTGGTGCAATGGCAACGGCTGATGTTGCTGTGGGTAAGGCTGCTGTTGTGGCGGTTGCTGTTGAGGCTGGAACTGCTGCTGTTGCTGTGATTGGTATTGCTGCTGTTGAGGGGGCTGCTGAAGATGTTGCTGTTGCGGAGGACCACGCATGTAAAGCGGCTTGTTGAATTCAGCTGGATCGGGTGCAAATGATGATGGTTTCATTGGATGTTCAGGAGCAGGTGGTGGAGCATACTGTGGCTGCTGCACCGGTGATGCATTCGCCTGCCAGTTCTGGACCGGTTCTAAACAAAATTATATTGATATTGAGTGTAAATGGCTTACTGAGCATGTCCCTCTGTTACTAGAGGATTTTAGATCGGTTTCGAAACTGACCTTGCTGAACTGGTGATTGTTCGGGCACTTTTGGTGATGGCACTCGAAGGCCTAACACAGCCGCTTTGGCGCGGGTAATCACATCATTCATCTCAGCACGGGAGGACAAGTACAATCGCACCTTGATAGGAATCATTAGCCATTGATCTTAAAATTGTTTCGGACACTCGTTCAACCTCTCTTCGACTATGTTTGGATTTAACGCATATAATCCAAGAGTTTTAATTTGCATTTGCGCACAGGCTTTTTTCAAACTCTAACTGGGTGTGTGGTGATTCTATCGTCGGGTCGTCGCGCCGGTGGGCGGAGCGAGGCGGCGTGGCGGCCGCCGCGTACGAGTTTTGTTGCGTGGCGTTCAAATTGTTAAGGGTCGACGATCCCTTTAACAATTTGAAAGAGGCACAGCTTGCTGTGGCCGTTGCTCCAATGACAACTCGGGAGTACGGTAATGCAACTCCGGGATTGCCGCGCAGCGACGCGGCAATCTTGGAGTTGCAGAGCGTGTGCGGCGTCGCCTGACTTGCCGACGATAGAATCGCCCGGGTGCCTTTAATCTGACCATTTTATTCACCAGCGATCCAATTTGGTAAATGCCTTCATCGATAGCACACAATGGTCCGCAGAGCTTCAGTGATTCAAATTCTTCTTTGCGCAAGTTTTGTTCTATACTTTGAGTGCGTGTTCCAATCGTTTTTTATCTACAGGATTTCATTTCGCCAAGGACGAATGGGGGAACAAGCCATTAAACCAATCGAGAAAGGATTAGTAAAGGAAAGATGTCTCGTGAAGAATAGACTCATCCACCTCAAGAATGTCCGCTCTTTATTAATTTTATCCTTTATCTTTATTGATCTTCGTACGACTGTGAATCGAGTCTAGCGCTGTTCTTCACTGTGGCACAGAAGACATGAAAATTCGACGGGGATCTAGTGAGATGAATAGCATTTTTACAATAGCATTATGAATAGTGAGATGAACAGCATTTTCGTAGCAAGCGGCCGGTGGTGTAGTGGTTAAACGCACTGCTTAAGAGACACAGATCAATATTTGGATCCTTGACTCCATGAAAACGTTTTGCATTTGTGTAAATTCAAATAATGCTCCCCAAACAACTTCTGTAGGCTAATTTTACCACTAGTCTTGATATTTGAACATCAAGAGCCAGCAAGCACAATCGCAAATTTCTGATCCCCTTGAAAAGAAGCTTTACGCATGAGGATACCCGTTATAGAAAGAGCTTGCATTAAGAAACAAAGATCCCATGTTTAAGGCCACATGCGGATATCTTCCACGAAATGATAGAAACATAAACTAAGCTCTCACACATGAGAAGCTCAGCGGCGAAAAAAAAAGTGCTCAGTCCAAAGCACACGTATGGTACGCAAGTTCATCACTCATGCATCAGTTGCATATGGAAAGCAATGTAGCTTGAGCGACACGGGGGGCGCATTTAACTTAACATTGGCTTCCTCTAGGGTTGCCGCGTTTCACAAACTCAACCATGTAAAACTTTGAAAGCGCCTGTGAACGGAATACAGATCGCGTCTAAGCGATATCTAAAAGTGTCAACTCGAGAAAAACGCTAAACTAGATGGGTCGCCACATCTATAAAAACGCCGATATATGCCCCCCGTCGACAATCTGCGCATAGAGGAAAGCAGTACTGAAGAGGTGTTTCGAACTCACCAGGATGTGCTTCAAAGCATCCAGCCGAATACCAAGAATAGGATAAGAAGTTTTTAAATCTGAGTGAGAAAAAGTGAGAAGAAAATAGATTGAGAGATAAAAGACGGAGAGTGGAGTCTCGTCGGTGGGTTGAAAAAGTTACCTTATGGCTACTCCGTTTCGCTAGCTGTTTCTTTTGTGCGGAATGCAACGTGTCGCTAGATCATAATCGTGTGGGCTGATCATATCGGATAATTTTGCACAGAACACGTGGACAGAATTTTGTTCATAATCAGAAAAAAAAATTTCACTACTGCTTTCACTCTGGACGGGAGGAGAACTGTAACTGTACCATCCATGTGTGGAGAGTACTTCTTTATTCGCTGTGCTCATTGTGAGAGCTTGTATTGTTTCTATCATTTCGTGGAAGAATACCACATGTGCTCTTAAACCGTAAGATCTTCATTTCTTGATGTAAGCTCCAATAAACGGTTATCCTCATAATGAAACTTCTCAAAAGGATTTAGAAATGGCGGATCTGCTTGCTCCTGATGTCAAATAATCAAAGAACTAGGTAAATTAGCTAGATAGAAGAGGGACTTATATGAAGTGTTTTACACAAAAGCAAAAGTTCTCAAGAGTCAAGAATCCCAACATGTGACCTCGTGTCTCTGAAGCAGTGAGCTCATCCACTACACCACCGGCCGCTTGCCGTTATCAGTTATCGTTCCGAACTTGTGCGAACACAGCAGAGAATGAATGGTCCGTAACTACCTTCGTTACAGAACCGTTCCACAAATTCCGAAGGCAGATTTCAATTCAGAGGTCAAGACACGTCCATCTATGCGCATTTCATTGTAAATGGCCGGATCGACCTGTTGGGGTTCTCTTGTGAGATGCGAAAATGTTTTCACGTGATTCAGTTTCAGTAATTGTGTCTGCCTTCCAATTATTGTGTTCTTTCTTTACAATAATTCCTCCTTCCTGACACATCCTTGTTTTCGTGGATCATACTCTGTGGATATTGCCGTCAGAGAACCCAATGCCTTGGCAGAGTAAACGCACCTCCTAAGTTTGTACTAGGAGCCGCTTGATGTCTCGTGCGACTAGCAGCGTGGGCCCCTGCTCTTCATCATCAGGTTTCCCATTCCATGAGCCATTTTCCCACATCATGCGCAGCTATTGGATGACTTTTCACTTACAGCATGTCTCGCAGTATAATTACATTTTTCCTACTTGTCGG